AAACATTAAACATGAACTCCATAAATTGAACATGCTAACCAATCAATTTCTTTTATCAAGAAAAATTTTTAAATTTCGATAGGAAGTATTTTCAAGCGTGAATAAGCTCAGACACCAATTCTATAAATTAGTCATTGCTAAAAAAAGTATTTGCTAAATATAAGTAAAATTAAACATGAACTCTATCAATCTCTTTTATCAAGAAAAATTTTTAAAATTTCTATAAAAAGTATTTTCCAAATAAAGTAGTCTACATGGAACCGGTACATACCAAGTCCGGTCCGGACTTTTTAGGAACTAGTTCAGAAATCAGTCGTGTAATCTTGTGATCTCAAGGTCTTCAGATAATATATAATTCTAATCCATGGTCACTCGAAGTTTACTACCACTACGGAAATTGTGAATCAACAACACAAATAAAATATCATACGTTTATCAAATCTTTGTGTAACATTACTATTTAAAATAAGTCAGTCAACATCTTCCCTGATTGTAAGGGTTGGAACCGATTAACTGCATAAAAATTTTTTCGTAGTGCTGAGCAAAATTATGTTGATAATAGGCCAGGGTTATCTTAATGCTGGCCAAATTAAACGGTTAAATGGTCAAATGATTAAAATGATTAATCCCTACTAGTAAGACATTGTGTACTGTAACATGCCTACTGTACACAGGTGTGTGTTATATCATAGTTTTACAGTACATGGTTTCTCTTGGCAGCACTTATGTTGTTTTCGCAAACATAGAAAAAAAATTGGTTGTCATTTAATATCAAAATATGTATGGTTTCATGATTTGTATTTTCATTTTTCTCTTAAAAATTGTTGTCTCGTGTGCAAATTTTATCCCTGCCGGAAGGTATTGGCATGTCGCAGTCCTTTATGATAAAAAGATTTATTTTAGCGAAAGAAAGGTTCACCAAGACACCAACAATTCTACTCGTGAATTTACCAATGAATTTTTCTACCTGGATGTTTCTAAATCATTTACGATAACCAACAATGCTTCAATACCATGGATTGACCTTACTTATACTGATGGTCCTGGAAAAGAAGAGGCAGCAGCCTGTATTGGTGGTATTAATGATGATGAGATCTTTATCATTGGTGGTAGTAATTCTAGTAATTCTAGTTCTCTAGAAAATTTTATCAATATATTTGATATAAGCAAGCAGCAATGGAATAATGTTACATTTAATGGAAAAGCCCCTAATTTTACCATTCATGCTATTTCATGCGCAAAAATCAATAAGACAATTGCCATTTTTAGTGAAAATTATAATATGACGAATAATATTTGGATATTCGATACTATTACTAACTTGTGGAGTTCAATTACTGCAAACAATGCACCACAAGGCCGATGCTGTTATTGTGTAATTTCTTTGCCAATGGAGATCTCTTATATATTGGTGGAGTTGACAATGTGAATCATAATGGCACTTTGCCAATGATTCAGTAAATGTTATCATTTGCTAAAATTTTCATTTATATTTTATTTATTTATTCATATATTTTTGTTTGTAGCTGCCACTTTATAATGTAACCGCTCATAGCTGGGGATACCAAGTGTGTTATAAATAAGCAACAAATATAATTTCAACATTAAACTAAACATCATTACTTTAGTCCACTTTAGGTTCAAGTGCTCCTCCTCCTCATTCTTATTCCTCGGCAGTATTAAATATGAAAATTTATGTATATTTTAAAAATTCAGCATTGAATCTTCTATTAATTAAGTTATATCAACATAGCACCTGATGGACATATCATAATATATGGCGGTGATATTAATGGACATTATCTTGGTGATCTGTGGATTCATATTTACATATCAATGGTCAATTAGAAATATTTTAAATCAGGCCAATGGTCCGAATAATATTAGTCGTCATACCGCAACATTGATAAATAATTACATGATTGTTGCCTTTGGTAAATAATTTCAGTTTATAATATTGAATTTAATATAATTTATTGAAGCATATTCAATACTCATTTTTATTTGATAGGCAAAGATGATATGGGAAATTATTTTACAAATTTATTTTTACTAGATATAAGCGATAAAAACTCTTATAGATGGGTTACTGAATTTACTCCAAATAGCACAATTCCAAATAATATACAAACTACTCCAGACTCTCAAATATTAGTGTAATTATCATGGCGGTCATTAGTAGCGTCATTTTAGTAATATTTGTTATTACTATCATTTACAAAAAAATCCTCAAACCAACAAACATTAAAACTAGCAACAACAATGACAACATTATTGAGCCCAACAACAATAATAATACAACAAACATTTCAGAAATGGAAAATAAGAATGTCTTAAATTTCAGTGATGCAGAAAAATCAATAAATGAATATTCAGAGCTGTTAGAATCATATTTAAAAAAATACAATGTAGAATGTTTTGATTATTCAAAATTTAGTGACCCTATATATATTGGGCATGGTGGGTTTGCAACAGTACACTCAACTGCTTTTGAAGGAAACAAATATGCATTAAAAAAACTAAACAATAATTGGTGCATAAATAGAAAAGCATTCAATCAATTAAAGTGCGAGCCTAAAATTCTTAATGATGTTGAACATGTTGAACATCAAAATATTATTAAATTTTATAGAATTTCAAGAGAGCAGATATCAGGTGATTTCATGTTAGTGTTACAACTTGCAAATGATGGTAGTCTACAAGATTATTTGCGAAAAAAACAAGGGACTCTCTTTACAAAATTTTGTGGGTTGAACTTGTTCAAATTGCAAAAGATATTACCATGGGTTTGAAATATTTGCACTCTAAAAAAATTCTATTTCATGAAGAAAAGGCCTTAATTACTGATTTTGGGATATTTTGGGATATCAAAGTTATTGGATGATATATCAAAATATTCTTCAAGTTCAATAGTAGCGGGCATGTCAGCATATATTGAACCACAATTCTGCCATAATGAAAATTTTAAACTTAATGAAAAATCTGATATATATAGCCTAGGTGTATTATTCTGGGAGCTTACAAGCGGAATTCTGCCATTTAACAATATTGACAAATTTACGATAATTGCAAAACTTGTAAAAGATGAAAGAGAAAAGGATATTACCTGCACACCTGCAGCTTATATCGAACTTTATAAGAAATGCTGGTCTACAAATTCTGACAAACGTCCAATTTTGAATGATGTTTTAAAAGAACTTGAGATGCTAGAAAAAACATCTATTACTTTCATTACTAATAGAATTCCTGATAGTTAACCAAACTTCACAAAAATTTTGTCTTTCTTAATGATATAGATAAGTATCAACAAAAAAATAAATTATTGTGATAAGTATTAAATGTGCTAATAGCCAATCAAAATCGATGTATTTGCACATTATCATGTAATTTATTTAAGGTTTTAATAAATTTATTAATTTTAGACACGGGCATCTGAATTAATATTTATCAATTGAAATATGAAAAGGATACAATACACAAGACATAATACAAAAATAAATCAGATTTTCAAACAAATAAATGAAAGAAAATCGTGATTTAGTAGAAGCAACAATCCTAATAAATTTTCCATTCTAGACTCAAAAAATAACGGGATCACAACTCTAGTTGTAAAACAAAGGTTTTAAAATTAATTGGAATATAATTTTTTTTATTTAAAGACTGGATAAAAATTTCACGATAAAATTCAAACATCGTTGATAAAATTTGGTACAGTTTTTCGTCCCTACTCTTATTACTAAAAGAGGTAATGTATCGACTTTAAAATAATCTACTGTAACATAAAACTGACTAAGTCAATTTTTTGGAAAATCGGCTGACTAAGCCAGCTAAGTCGATAAAATCGACTATACAAACAATAGTTCTTGGGCCAATTTTAACATGGATTCTATAGTTGCAATGAAAAAAATCAATAAGTAATTCCAGCCGGAAATTAGTAAACAATTTTGTAATGCAGGCCAAAAATTTTGCAAATCACGGCCGTTGGCCTATCAGAAAGGATATCTAATTGCTATCCTGGGGTTCAAAAAAAAAAAAAAAATAGTGAACGATTGAAAAACATTTTCAAAAAATTGCTTTAGCTAGATAAAGAACTAAATGAATAATGTATTATGTAAATCAAATTTAAGTACATAGTCTAATAATAACAATAGGATTACATATTAATTTATGAGCTGGACCACTCTCTTGTTAATCGATACCCAAACTATAACTAATTGTTTATAATTCGCATCTCTACTCTAACCCCAACGAGACATTTACCAGAGTCAAAACAAGTATTTCTTTATTAAAAATCTGCTTTTGGTGACACCCAATTGTTAAATTAAGCAGACAATTGTTTCATGGTTTCAATAAAAAAACAGTAATATAAGTCTCAAAAATGGAATTCAAAAAAAGATTTAAAATTCAAAAAATGATGAATACATATATCGAAATCAGCTACTTTGAAATGTTATCCATATTAATGATACCTTTAATAATGGTAATGACCCTTTATGTAATAGTAATCATTGTCTTTAAAAAAAAATGAAAAAAAAACAATGAAATATATATTAGTAATTAAGAAATTTACTTTAAGTTCACCTTTAAGACGGTTTTATGATGACTAGTAGAGATGTGATCTGGATATTCGTAGTTTAGTTTTATAATAAATCTATATTTTTATAGGAAAACGGATAACAGATCGCATCTCTAGTGATTAGATATCAAACTTACTAATTTTTAATATCGATATGATTAGATATCAAATTTACTACAGTATAAAATATACTGCATGTTTTAAAATTATAATGTAAACCTGTTTTATATATGTTGTAGGTGGAAACGGAATTTAAGTGAATTTGGAATTTTATATAAAAAAAACTATTTCGTCATATGTACACCCTAACCCTAACCTTAATTTAACTATAAAATTCCAAATCCACTTAAATTCTGTTTCCACTTACAACATATACACATCAAAGTTATCAGTAAACTGCTATGTTTCAAACAATAATAATTATGTAAAGACCAGAAATAATAGCAAATTTTAGCTTAATAATAAGGTTGCATATGGTCTTTTCTGAATGGTTATCAAATGCTGGTCTACAAATGTCCAATCTTAAATGAAGTTTTAAAAGCTAGAAAAAACATCTATTAATTTCATTTCTAATAAAATTTCTGATGATTAACCAATTTAACAAAATTTTGTCTTTCTTAATTCTATAAATAAGTATCAACAAAAATAAATTATTGTGATAAGTATTAAATATGCTAATAACCATCATGGTCAATAATTATTATAGAACTTATTATTATATAATTAGGTTCGTAGCTCTGGTAATAATTAATATGTAACTTCTGTAAATAAAATACTGTATGATTAATTTGTAACTCGGCTTTCTTTGGAAAAAAGTTTATAGTATGAATAATGAGAAAAGTTACTGATATTTATAGATAAAAAATGACGGTCATTCATGATATCAAAAAGCATTTTTTTAAAAAAATAGATGTTAGACCATTATTCGATGATATTTCATAATTTGGATAAGATAAAATTTGTTCACATACATTAATTCAATAAAAGAGCATTAATCGTTTAATATTTAGCGGACCTATCATGTGATTTATTTTAGCATCTAGCGATGCTGAAATACTATGACACATAGCATATGAAATATGTAGCGAATATGACTAGTAATGCTTTTCGTTATTGATAAATAAATGACATTGATATCAATATAACATAAATTGCTTAACATTAACATTAAATAGAAAATTACTGAAATAGCAATTGTACAGCTAAATTCTCATAATACATTATTAGCAAGAGTCTCCTGACTAGAGAGATAGTTTGCCAATAAAAAAAAAGCACGAACTTTTCATTTTAAAGGCTATATGAATGGGTGCCCTAAGAATTTATAATATAAATCTAATTTAAGTAGCTATAGCCTCTCTAGAAGTTATTTTGAGCTTATATAATTTACAAATAATTTACATATGTAAGTTACATAAAATTTATATAAATTACATGTAACTTACATGAAATTTAACAACCCTTAATTCATAACTCTGGTAAACATAAATTTGGTAGAATTCAATTCATAACTGATAAACATAATGTCAGATAGAACTCTGTAAACATAATTAATTCATAACTCAAGCAAACATGATTTTGGTAGAATTAATATTAAACTAATTTACTCTATAAATTTATGATGTTTAATAATCATATCAAAATTTATAAAAATGACATCTGCTATTCTTCGTCTTCATTATCTAAATTGTCTATATCTCCATTCTTATTGATTAAATAATCTTTATAAAGGGATATATACCTCTCACGTGTCTTTTTTAGTACTTCTAAATAGCTCGTATCAAGATAATAATTTATTAATAAATCTTCTAGCATAACAATCCGATCTGTCATCACATTTATCCTATCTTCAATAGAAGAACCAACGAGTGATTCATGCAGGCCATCAACGAACAAAGTTTTGCCATCTTTGTAAATATACTTTCTTGCTAAATGACTTTTGTAATTATGACGAAATTGCCACCAACAAGGATAGGTTTGACAATAACCCCTTTTATACAAAAAAATGAAATAATTAAGTTATGACAATGTTTTTAAATTATTACAACTATTTAAATAATAATATATTTACCAAGGAGAAAGTTTTGGAGATTCGAATAAAAAAATATATATAGTTGTTGTAAATATATAAAAGCCTCCAATATTTGTGATAAATGTAATAACTAATATTTAAAAATTGATTAGATAATGTAACTGGTCAGTTGGTCAATAACTAGAAAAATTATAAAATTTAACTATTGCTTTGATATTCTTCATAATATATAATGTGATCTTTTGGCTTCATTAATATGATAGTATACGATGAATTTAAAAGTGGTGACATTTCCTAAATTTCAACATCAACATAAGCTTCTGTTTCATGAGCATCTATACTAAACAGCCTTGAAGTATAAATATTTTTAAGTCTTATAGAAAATTCAATTAAAACCAAGTGGCCACCAGATATTGGATTCGCATTTTGTTTTGACCAAGCAGGAATGTCGCTACCTTGGAAGTTTAATTTTGTAAAATTAATTATGAGATAGTTTACGAGAGAAGGATTGATATTAGATAATGTAAGGTTTGATGTTATATTGAAAATAATATGATCATATTGATATAACGAATTATATGTATAGATACTGTCCGAATTATGATTTTTACTAGTCGCATTATCTTTATAGTTGTTTGATATAGTCCACCACCATCTTGTATCATCCTCATAATATCTATAAAAAAATCTAGAGCATTTGCTATAGCTATAATTCAAGTTCATAATACATAATATGTTTGTAATATTAATATTATAAGATGTAAATTTCTGATTAAGATCTGTTAATTGCCTAAAATCGATATCTATAGGTTTTAAACATTATATATTTAAATGTAAATAATGTTAAGCAATTTTATTTATATCTTATTTATATCTTTTCTCACCTTCATGTTGTATTAAAAAATCTAATATAATTATAATTAAAAATTACTAATTTTGCATGTTGTTACGGGGTGAATTGTATCCTTTTATTAATGTTTACACGAAAATATAAGATTTTATGATATAAGGCAACTCGCCA